GAAAAGGTTTCTGCATTACCCGGAAAAGGGCTCAATCCCAACAATACCATGTCTAAATCTATATAAAATGGTTGCTTATCTCTTATGAAAACATACCTGATTCAAATTTCTACACACAAACCAAGTTAAAAGCCCAATTAAATTTGACACTATAGCTATTTTGTCCCATATACAAGTGGATATTACGACAAAGAATTCATTACGTCAAATAAAAACTACTTCCGTAGACATTTGAAAGCACATCTTCTTGCACGTCCGTACAAGAGTTAGGTCAATGTTCGACAAAGTACCCATTACCCATAGAATCTTTCTTAACAAGAAAAAAAGACGTATTTGTTAAGTTTTTTCTTCTTAACTAAAACAATTATCAATGTTATGCTTCACATAAAAGGCTAGTCATTTCAACGAAAAGTTGATCACGTGTCGATGACAAATGATAATAGGATCGAATTCGAATTATTATTATTATTATTATTAGAAGGATTGTACTATTTAATTCTATCTAATAACACGCAAAACACGAGCCACCTCTAATTTTACCCCAAATGCTAGAAAGAAGGTAATTCTAGAGTAGAGGTTTTCCTATCCTTATTCCTTACCCTTTTTCACCACATCTTTTCACCGCGAAGGCAGGGGAAATTCATTTTCTCTCCTCACACGTGTCAGTTTTCCTTCCCCTCTCCACCATTACACTCTAAATTGGACGAGTTTTCACTTCTCCATTCCCCTCCCCCATTTTCTCTTTTCCCCTCTGAAAAGAAATCTATTTTCCCCTCTGTTTTTCCTTTCATCGATGCTTTGAACTTGATCGGCTGAATTTTCATCATTTCCATTTTTCAATTTAAATGCCCATTTTCAACGCTTAATTTTCTCATCTGTGGATTAGTTGTGTGTTGTTTACCGGCAAGGATTTCTGGGTTTGGTGTTTGCAGAGAAATCTAGGTCGTTTCTCCTTTTTTCCTGTTTATTTTTTGCGAAAAGATATAATTTTTCAATATGTATAAGCCTTTTCTGCTAAGTGCTTGGAAAATTCTATTGTCTTTCAAACCCTAGGTTAGGTAACCTTTTTACGTATCTCTCTTTTTTGTTTATTACCCTAGAAATTCTTTGATTCTATTTGTACATAAGAATAGTTCCATTTCATTCATTGATTTGATACCCTAGCTGGGACAAAAATATAATCAGGGATCTTACGAGAAAATTTCTGTGAAATTTTTGGTGCTTTTTTTAGTTTGACATTGAAAATTGAGGGTTTTCTTGTTTCGAACTTCTATGTTAACAACATAACCCACTGATGAAGTCTAAAGAATTGAAGGAAAAAAATCGTTTTTAGTTAGAGCCTGATTCTTCTTCTTTCCATTTTATTTCTTTCGGGTTTATAACGAAAAGAGAATGATCTGAAATCAAGGGTTTTCTCTAGAGATATTGAGATGGCGTTGAACTATTCACAACGGCCAATATTTGCGGCACATATTTCAGAAGATAATTTGGTATCGCCCTTGAGGATTTTGAATGGGTATCTTGCGGACGATATTCCTGAGAAGAATGGGGAAGGTTACTCAAGGGCATGCTGTAAGTGCCAAGGAGAAGCTGAGGAGTGGAACTTCAACTGTGGCAGGGATAGAGTTGATCTATGCAGCTCAACAGAGTCGACGGCCAAGGACATTGTTGACCTTTTGCCGTCTGACCCATTTGGGATGGATATAGAAACTACCGTCACGGCGATCACGGGATGGCTCGAGGACTTGGAGTTTGATTATCAAGGATACATGAGGAACAACAATCATGAAGATTATGGCTTGTTCGCTGGATGGAATTTGATTTGGAATAATGCTATGAAGTTCCAACCTCTTTCAAACAATGCTCAATCTGATGAGAAACTGAATGTTGGTACCCAACATTTTCCTAGCGATCTTCAGGTTTATGAGAAACCAGATGAGAGTATCCATTCTTTTACTAGCGGTATTCAATTTGACGAGAAATTGAATGTCTGCTATCCGGCTAATCTATATAGGGAGGAGAGAGGAATGTGTGGTTCTTTTACCCAATATGAGCTTGAGTTTCTATCGGCCCAGAATATGAGGGACATTGTGGGCCACGGCAATGAGGGTGCTAGTAGCAGTTCTGAACTTCAGTTTGGAGGGGAAGTTGAGGGCGCAGTGGCAAATCTATATAGGGAGGGGAGAGCAATGGGGGGTGCCTTAGCCCAATATGAGCTTGGGTTTCTACTGGCCCACAATATGAGGGACATTGTTGGCGTTGGCGATGAGGTCGCTAGTAGCAGTTCTGAACTTGAGTTAGGAGGGGAAGTTGAAGGTGCAGTGAATTGTGTCAAGGATGAAGGAGCACCCCATGAAGCTTTGGCCTTTGCTCTTAGTTATCTGGGAGTGAAAGACCTTCTATCTGTGCAAAGGGTATGCAGGTCCTTCTGTTCCACAGTTCGAGGTGATCCCCTGTTGTGGATGAGTATCCACATTGATCGACCACTTAATGAGAGGGTCACGGATGATGTGCTCGTGCAATTGGCTAGTAGGGCTCAAGGAAATCTGCAATGCCTGAGCTTGGTGCAGTGCCCGAGGATCACTGATGATGGTTTGAGGCGTGTACTTGCAGCCAATCCGCGATTGACTAAGGTCAGTAACTCAACCTGCTGTTTTTATTTATATCCTAATTTGTAATTTGTTTTAGTTGGATTTTGGCTTTTGGAACTTGGTTAATGAGCATGCTTGTTAAGTTCCTTTATGTTGGCAACAGCACGTGTTCAATGCCTTAATAATACCGAGGCCTTGATTTGGTGAAATTCTGTATTGATGTGTTTTGTCTGACATATTAAAGAATAAAAGAATGATATCATTTGTTCTTTTAATTTCCTATGGAAGAAACATGTTTGTTTGATCTGGATATGTGATTTAGTCTACACGTTTGATTGTATATGTAAGTGCACAGATGTTTGTTCTTGAAAACATGTGTATATTATCTAGTAGTGAGTATTTTGGTTATGGGGTCTGGTATGCTATTGTCGTCACCATTTGGTGAAGCATTCATTTACTAATACTAAATGGGGACAGCAAACTAACATTGAAAGTTATAACACGTGTTAAATCTTTAGACGGGGAAACTCATCACTTGAAGCAGTATACAGAATAGCATATAGTTTTCTCTTTAATTTTTTTATAAATGTTGGTTGATAGAATGGCTACAATTGCACATGATTAGATGTTAGGGGAATTTATGAACTCGTGTTAACATCAGCACTTTCTTCTTCTAACGTGTCAAGATAATGTTGTTTCACTTGATACATCTGGCTTGCACATGAATATTTAATCATTCGCAAGAGTAGAATCATATTCGTCACTTTGACATTATTGTCCATGTTATTAACTGCTGCGGGGACAACTTGTTAATTTGGAATGTAAAGGTGTTCAGAGGAGAATGCGTCAGGCTAGGGTATGCCTCTTAAGATTATGACCATGTGTATTGTAACTTGTAAGGAACGCTGATAAAATGATAGGTTTTTTTTTTACTTTACCATGCCACGTGGACCCTTCTATTGAGTCTCTGTTAGATGCTTGATAGTTGATACATGAGTTTTTGAATGTCTGGGACTAGGGCATAAAATTGTGTCTGACACTGATGTCCGTTTCTAGAATATTATTTATACAGCATGTCATTTTAAAAGTATATTTGTCGTTACCATGTCCTCCTTTTCAACTGTGGCCCTTCTGGACTTGTGTCGCCTTCGTTAAAATCTAGGTTGTATTTTTAAAAGTGAGAAAAAGAGAATGTAGATGTAAATACTTCACAAATATATAGGTCATTTCTTAAGGGAATAAGATTTATCATTCCATTTTATTAGGCTCGCCTCTCGGAGTATAAAGCTATGGAGGGTATAGTCGTATAGAAATAGGTAAAAAAATAAATTAGTGTCAATAACCAAATTTCAGTGTTCCATTTGAACCAATCTGCCTATCTTCATATTGATAGCGGCCACTTGTATTCTACACGTATGTTCGTTAGGCAATTCATAATTGGATTTGAATTCTTGTTTTTACGGATAATAGATATAATAACTTTATGGTGATATCTTGCCATGTTCAAAGCTCTTGGTTGTATTCTGGATGTGGGACATTTAGTCATTCTCCTGGAGCAACCTGGTAGGGGCTTTCACTATTCTTAGCAGCAGCTAAAATCTGTAATGATGTATCTCTACTTTGAAGTGAAGATTGAATTTTGCAGTGATTTTTATTTGCTATCTTCAAGGTTTAAAGTTTAAATATTATTATTTTTAATGCAGCTGTCTGTTCCTGGTTGTACACGGCTCACTATTGAAGGTATCCTGAATAATCTGAAGGAATATAACTCTAATACAGCTGTCCCAGGTATAAAGCACCTGAGAATTGGTGGGATATATGGCATGACATATGAACATTTTGAAGAGTTGAAGTTGCTACTTGGTTATGATACCGACAAGCTCGAAAATAAACACAGGCCACATTTCTATGGTCGAGGAAGATTTTATCTTCCTTCTGATGATGACCGTGCAATTGATATTGAAACATGCCCAAGATGTGAGAAACTGAGGTTGGTTTATGATTGTCCAGCCGCAGGTTGTCAGATTAAAGATCCAGCTACTAAAGCCTGCAGGGCATGCACACTCTGTATAGTGAGGTGTGCTCAGTGCGGCAGGTGTATTAATGACACAGAATACGAAGAAACATTCTGTCTGGAATTGCTTTGCTCGGATTGTTTTAAGCAGTTGAATAAGTATCAAGATCGGCTGGACGAGGAGGTTGATACCCCCGGGGATGGAGCTCTACACAAGCCCAACTTCTGTCTTTATGGATAGGGGATTGTATTGGTTACTTGGGTTTATTTTAATGAATGTTCGCCTCCACTATTGAGTTCTTTTGCTTACTGGAATAGTTGTCCTGGTTGATTAAGCTTTCAGGTGAACTGCTTTTGGTGTTGACTGAGCCCAAGATTATGTAGGAGTTCACAGAAAGAGTGGCCAAAAGGAGAAAAAAACTGTGAAAGAAAGAAAAATGCAGAAAAAAAAAAAAACTTTCCAAAAAAAATCTAGAAAAGAAAGGATGAAGTAGGAAAAAATCTCGTGTGAAGTATATACATGGTGTTTCTTCCCCCAGCTGATTGTGCTCTTGAAAGCTAAATGATCATTGCTGATTCTCGGAACTCGGGAGGTGGAACATGTGCCGAATATCATTCTGAAGGGCAGCCACTTGATCTTTCAACTGCAGATTACTTGTTGAGTTGGTACAATTGGAGCCAACAGCTCAAAGAATCTGAGATTTAATCTGTGCTTGTGGTCTGATTGCTGAGGAGGCTCCCAACTGAGCCTGCAGGAATTGTCGTGCTTTGATCTGGACTATAGGACTTCTTATTTGCTAATGCAGATGTTAGTTTCTTTGCATTCTCTCTGTGCATTTTATGATTCAATAATCTTCTATTCTGATGTAAATCGATGATATGGTGATGTACATCCTAATTCGTATATTTGTCTACTGCTATTAACTTCTTGTCGTACCAGATAAATATGGTTGAATAAAAGAGTTTTTGTGTGATATAGTTCTGGCCGTTGAGAGATGTTCTTTGTGCCTGGTTTGATATCGAGCAAGTCGGCTTCTTAAGTTTGGTTCTAGTAGCTGCAAATAAGCTCAAGTTTTTTGGTACTTTTGTCAATAAATATATCCCCATCTTCGTAACATTTTCTCTGCAGCACATTAGTGTCTTAGTCCATTATATATGTACATTCAGATATATGCACATAACATTTCCTAGTAGATTACTAAATCAATATTTGTAAAATGATTGAACATTTAACTAATCATAATTTATCAGGATCCAGAATTAATATAGAATGACGCAAATGCATGCGTGAAACAAGAGCCAATTGATCAAAAGATCCGAAAATGTGTTGGCCATTCATCGATTCGAGCCTATTTTAACGATAAAATTCTACATGTCCAGCAATCTCCCTGCACAGCAACTTAACTCCACTTGCTAATTTCATGCTTTTAACTATGGCAAGTCCTGTTTGTCTGTGAGTTGAAGTCGGTATTAACAACTTCGTTTCTTCCTCCCTCCCTGAGAGAAGAGCTTCCCTGGCTGGAACGACGTTTTCCCACCAAAACTCTCGTAAAATCCCGTGTATTAATTCCCAGTAACTACGTTCCCTCCATACGCGAAATATGGTGCTTCCGTTCGGTGTCCAACAATACAAATCTACCCAGTCTCTGTTCATTATCTCCATCTGGCCCTGCACTTGAGGCATGTAATAGAAAGGCATAGTTGACCATGGCAGCCCCATCTCGGGCTTCCCTTTGTTGAAAGGACACTTCACTTCAAGGATTCCACCTCCAGGAGAGGATCCAAGTAGCCCATCTGGAGAAGCACCGAGCCAATCTAATCGTTCCTCTGAGTGAACGACAAAACCTAACGAACTCACATCACGACATGTGATGCTTTTGTACCTCTCTATAGCTGTTTCTTCGTTCATAACTCCCCATTCCATGGCACTCTTTGCAGAGGCTTCAAATTTTACGTCTTCAGCAAATACTTTCTCGTACCAGAGTTCATATCGACGATTGCCTTTCCAAAATCCCAACACAGTGCTGAAGGTGCTCGTCGTCAGTTTATCCTTGCGAAGAGCAAACCATTCATCAGAGCGTTGGGGAGCATCTGATGCTGTGAGTCGACCATTCAACAGCAAAGACGATACAGGATAATTGAGAGGTACGGATGAATGCACAAAAGGGGAAGCACACGTTGAAAATGTTCTTACGAAAACAATTCCATACTTCCTTCGCGTGGGAAGTGGAAATGCCGCTTTATGGATGCCACCAAATTTCGTAACGCAAGCATTGGTCATTGCTCAGCTACCAGTTATCAACTACAAACGTCGTTTTAACTACGATATCCTGTAAAAAAAACACAGGCAAAAAGGCAGTTGAGCAGCACTGAGGTGCAACAAGAACAAGAGTACATACATTAAGAAATAACAGAAAATTAAGGAAAAAAGGGCTACTTGACTTCATCTTCTACCTAGTAAAGTAATTAACCAAAACCTCACAGAACAGTAGAAAGAACAGAAATTTAAGAACCCATTAAGCATCTTAAAATGACAAACAAAAACTACTAAATGTTGAGTTCATAAGCTGAAAAAGTAACAATCCCACAAATTTTTAAGAAAGAAAAAGTTTAAAACAGATTATATAAACAACCTGGAGATTCTACTTTCCAATGAATTAAACATAAATATAGTAAAGAAATGTCGAATAATGGGATTTTCGGAAATGGATATAATGAATTATGAATATGAAATTTTCATTATCAAAAGATGTACCTCAGAGTCAGAGAGAATGAACAAGTTTCTCAAGGATAAAATCGTTTACTTCCCTTGTTTTCTCTCTTAAACCAAACAACATGGACACTGAGTCCAACCCATACGAGTCGACTCACTACCCAAAGCCCACAGCCAAGAAATCTTGACCTCCCTTTAAGTTCGACAGAGACTAAGATATTAAACGGATCCGTGGCGCAATGGTAGCGCGTCTGACTCCAGATCAGAAGGTTGCGTGTTCGATTCACGTCGGGTTCAATCCCTGTCATCTTACGGATTTATA